TCTATAATTAAGATATTTCTCGAAATCAGTCAGTTAAACAAATGTGATTTTTGTCCCATCTCTCAATCTTAATGCGGACTGATTAAGATTAATTATATATGCTAGTAAGTTATTTTGTTTTACATACCAAGACGAGATAAATATTTCGCTTGTATTAACCTCTTTTGATCTATCAATCTGTGGAAGATATAGTGGATGCATCTTTCGGCCATTGTTCACGATCTGATGAAATCCCTTCTGTCTTTGAATATTTAAAAGAACACATTTCTGTCTTTCAGCTAACTCTTGCTGTAATTGTTTTTCAGCTAATTCTTGTCGAGATAATCTATCAGCTAATTGACGCCTCTTATGGTCTGACCAACTTTTGGCATCATAAAGGACAGCATGCCTAGAATGATACCCTTCTTTAACAAACATCCCAAATTCCATGCTATATCTATAATCAGAATTAGGTATGTTTAGAAACTTTTTATCCTTAGGAGTGTTATCATTTCGAACTGCTTCCCAAACTCGTTTTGCCAGAGTTTCGGGCCTTCTCTTATAATTTCGATAAGCATTTTGGATAAGTCGTACACCCCCATCCTTAGTTTTAGCTTTGGAACATTCGGTATCCCAATGGTATTTCATCAAGTCCTTGGATTTAACCTCATATCCATATCTGCGCCATCCACTAAAATATGTCTTTTTTGGTTTTATATCGGTAATCTTTACCAATTTCCAGCAATCAAAACAAATAGCCATATTACTCTTATTGATTCTGGGTCGATGATAGTCAGAATTAACCATCTTGCCATTCCCAAATCCTGCAAACAAACAATGTCGGTGATATACACTAAATCTCTGATTGGCTAATAATTCTTGTAATCGAATTCTAACACTTACAGCCCATGCAACTAGAGACTGACCTGGTTTCACAACTGATAATGTATCATACTCCCACTCTATTCCGATTATTTTTTTGAGGTCAGTACCATAACAGTAATTTACAATATATGCGCTAACATATTTCATATCATATCCAGGACGATTATTAATAGGTTTAGGCACAATCTTATTAAACTGCTTATCTAGAATAATCGTATCAGGCATATTTCTTGTTCACTTACGAATTATAACGATTTATAGCAATTTATTGATTTATAGCGTTTTTAGTAACTTACACTAATGAATAGCATGTTTCAATTTTATACTGATTTGCTGGTTAAGCAGTTTTAATGAATTTATAGCAGTTTTATTGATTCGTAGCCAATTTAGTAAGACTTCATATTGCTAAACTCAGATTCATTTTTATTAGATTGGGATTTATATAGATCCTCTCTCGGGCTAAGCTAATTTTATATTTACATGCATATGCATAGCGCCTTCGGCTAAATTGGTTTGTACTGTATATCGTATCACATGAGATCTCCCTAGAGTTCCACAATGCTCCCCTGGCATTATATCGTAGTTTCTGTAATCGGCTTTCATTTTATTAATTTTATGGTGCAGTTATTCGTTTCTTATAACGGTCAAATGATTCTTTATCATAATTAAGCAATTTCTTTTGACAATAAGCTTATATTTAACCTGCCTATTTATTTTTACAATTGTAACAAATATTTTATTAATGCTTTAATTATTGCAAATGCAGTAAACTATTAAAAGAAACGAATTTGATAAAATAAAGTGCTTCCGGGTGGCAGTATATGATTATGAAGCCCATTAACTAATACTACATACAACAACCTAGTGATTAAAAATAAGAGACTATTTCTTAGAATTTCGTTCAGGCTTGTTATTAGAGTTCAGAGTTATCCCTTTTTTAGTCTTGCTCTTTGAACTCGGGGAATCAAAAGCAACCACTTGATTTATTTTTTTCCGTGGAGGGGAAAATTCACAACTGTTCTGTAAATTTTGAAGTTGATCGTCTGTATCTTCTTCATTCTTTGAATATTGTTTTTGCTCAACAAATTCGATTGTTTCCTTAACAATCATCTGTGAAATAACAAAAATTATTAGACCTAAATGATTGTAAACTACAAGTGCTTAAACAAAAATACATACCTTTGCCTTCCACGCTAACATAATTACAGGAAGTACTTTTGAACCAAATTGTGCTATTTGTGAGGGGACTTCCAACATTTTTGTTCGAGTTATTCGGCATGTATAGCCAACAGGGGAATCTATTCTGAGTAATAATATCATCAGACCTAAATTTCATTCACAGAGAAATGATAAAATAAGTCACTAAAACCAATATGTAATGTGAGGGACTCCATCATCAACACCTACCTGAGTGTATAAACCCGATAGATTGTAGTTTCCTTATCTTTTCCTCTTCATTTCCAACGGCTTCACACAAAGAATAAAATATATCCTTCATCATCTTCGGAGCTTTTATACCTCTCTTTCATGCAAAAGTTTCGTCCCATTGTTACCTTCGAAAGATTTGCCAGCCTCTGAACATCCGTACTCAGTAGAAACCTTTCGAATGATAAGATCTCCACGTCTTCCCATAATCTTTCTCTTCATTTTGACAATTGCAGATCCGGTTCGATTACGATTTTTCCTATTCGAGGATGCCCGGCTAGATGACTCTGACCTGATGCAAAAAAGATGTGAACCACTTATCATAGTAGAATGGTTAGTATTATCTTCCCTACCTTGCGGTCTCCAATCCATCGATATTCCCAAATCCTCTGTCTACAAAATTCCAAACATGAACCAAGAGCCACAATTCAAGATGATCCTTCTCTAAACTCCCCGCTTCATATTCATGTAACCTGTAGATCAAGATAGAAATTAATAATCCAGGAATAAAAAGAAATAATTTACTATTGGACAGAACCTACAAGTTGTACGCGGTATTTCGGATCCAATCATAATCAAAATGTGTTTGTCGATTGTATGGAGAATCCCATTGCTGAGATTTAAATATAGCATCTCTAAGGCTTGAGATGTCGGACTAATTCAGGATGTACAAGTAAGTAAATGATCATAATAGTATTATTAACAAGATATATAAAACTACCTACCACTCGAAAACTGTTAAGGTACGTTAATAAGTCTTGGGGCATCTGTGGCATTGGTATAAGTTTATATTTTCGGATTTCATCAAGTTCAGCCTCAGTAAAAACTTCTTCATTGATATAGATGTTATCATTTGGATCTATCACAAATGAATGACATAGGCTTTGGAAAGTCGCAAAATGTTAGATGTCAAATAATAGAACCTGAGCTTTGTCCAATACATAAAGGATACTTACTGTTCGTGCCTGCATTTAATACCAAAATTGTATAGAGCATCTTCTACTATCTTTCCAGTAGAAAGTTTCCATTTGTCCGAGTCATTCATTTTTAAGTATGTCTTTTCGAATTCAGTGAACTCTATCTTTGTCTTCTCTACAACATCACAGGACGAAGATTCCGAACTATAAACGTAGTCATCATCGTCATCATTAACAGATTCCGTAGATTCCGTAGATTCCGGATCAGAGTAATATTCATTGGCTTCATCAGCCATCTTCATCTCCCTTGCAAATTCGTTGTGAATTGGCGAATCGCTCATAATACTCTCATTGTCACTTTTATCATCGTGAGCTGAGATCTAGATATTGAGAAGAAAAAGTTAATTTACTACGCATGATGTATTGTACGTTGGAAGCACGACGGAAATATCTACATTATCTTCCGGTGTACTCGGCTCTTTATACCCTTGTCCACGTTGATACTTGTATGAACGGGCATCTTCCGTACCATCATCATCTGCTAAACGTTTTCCGATACTTTTCTCAGTAATATTTGAGTTTAAGGCATAATTTAATTTTTTCCGGTCAAAGATTCGATGAGCCTCGTTCCCCGTTAAAGTACGATCGACCGAAAACTGAGTCTGTAAAACCATAAAAAACATAAAAGTTGGTATTGTACTAACTTGATACTTAAGATACAATATCAATGCTGGACACATACCTCAGCTAACTCCACTTTCATCTCTAATAACCTTTTTTCTGCCTCGATTTTTTCGGTTTCAACACTCCTCCAAAACGATTTTACATCTTCCCCTTGTGCTTGTAGCTACAGAAATAGAAATAGTAAGAGAATGATTAAAAAAAAAGGGCTAAACCATCCTGAAGACGGAGCAGGAATCAGCAGGACTACGAATGAACATAGTAATTCTTGGCACTGTGGCATAGTAGGCACTGGCCTTCACGTAGACTTGGAATGAAGCCCACCAGAGATAGTACTCCATTATTAGCTTGGTGCGTAGGCAAGCATTTTAGGTGGTTGTTCTGGCATAGTAACCCAACTCCTTCCTATCCTTTGCATCCAAATATAAAACTTAAATAAAATGGATACTCGCCTTTAGTACTCTTTCGTTGAGAACGGAGGTAGCCTTTTTCCACTTTTTGTCCGTTGTACCCTCTGCGATCCAAATCACAAATTTAAATATCATTGAGTGCTCGACTCGCTTATTACAAGTGAAGTCTAATTTTGTTTTACGGAAATTCAAAATAGAAAGGAGACTGAAGGTGTCGGGATCCAAGGCCATCTCCCAACCTTCAAACTATAATAATTTCACATTTTTTCAAGGTGAAACTCGGAAACAAACAAACGTTTAAACTTCATACTTACTATCTGTTGAAAGCTCACCTTTTTCATTTCGATGATAGACATTTGTGGCTTTTTAGGAATGAGTAACTCGTTAAAAAAAAAAAATTCTAATGACCAGAAAAAAAATTTTTTCAATCTTGATTTCTTATATTTACCTACCCGTGACAATACGTCATTGATTATCTGATAACGTGATACACAAATTTGCCATGACTGTGATTTAGTATAGTAAATCCCCAATAAAATGAACACATTTAAATATGATTACAACAAAGGTAATTCGATTTTTTTATTGCCTGTACGATACTGCGCCAAATACCAAGAATTATTATTGTTAACACACTGCGCCAAATTTTGTTGAGAAGTGTGATGTTAAGGCATGTGATGAGATTCATGTGAATAGTTTCACTGCGTCTATTGTACGCGTGATTGTCAAAGATTTTCTTGGCGAAGATCAGAATGCCGATACATAACAAGAAGAGTAATATATCCGTTTTATTTTGGAACATCTATAGAGACAGGAAAATCGATTAACATCGCGATGACATGTCTCAAGAAGCTAACCAAGCAATAAAATCATCATACCTTATTATTGTTTTGCGGAATATAGGAGTTCGTTTGATCAAGGATATTAACGATGTAAATAATGGTATGTTAGATTGGTTTTTATTTTTCATTTTACTTGCACAAGGCGGATAAAAGGATTCATTAACCAGGTCATCACCTTTTTATATAATTCACAGAATCGATTTTGTTATACGCTTTTGGGGAAATTACGTTAATTGATTGCATCACGAAAATCTGATCAACGGACTCTCCTTAATTTAACAATAAAAGAATTTAACGCTATCCATATGTAAAGATCATCAAGGGGTCCTTTTACAATAATATACGTAATAATTTTGAGAATATGCGAGAAGGTTTGAGAATAAAAGTACCTGGATCTTCGCTGGCAACGATCCAGATTTCCTAAATTACCCTATATTAACATGTATATACGCTCGAGCATAAAAAATTAGTAAAAATTATTACCAATCGCCACGAGAAAAATATTTGACTACATTGCTCGGGTCACTTAGTGCCCTAAACATTTTTTATTCGCAATACATTGAGCTAAGATAAATTACATGGTGCGGGACTAGCCCTGGGTTTATGATGTCATTCTATGATTATAGACTATTATTATACACGATTATTTTTTTGAACGATATTAGCTTTTTTTCTTTGAGACAAAGTTCTAGACGTAGTCTGCTATGTCATATGCACACTTCCAACGGGATCTACCGGTTAATCATATGATAAATGTTAATTTCAATGATATACTCAGAAAAATCTCGGCAAGAATTTTCCCGATATCAATTGCGCATCCGATTTCACATGATGAAGTTTCTTTTCCCAAGTGATTCGAAAAAAATAAACTTATAAGATAATCCAGTACTAAAGTATGTGATAATTCTCCTAGGCGGTCACCGGAGAGATAATAGGACTCATCATTGGTGAGACTTTCCTTTCATATCTTCCGTTACGATAATAATAACCTCTATCACATTCACCATATTTATTATATCCATTGTAATGATTATACCTATCATCATCCGATTCATCCCTTCGGTGCATCTCTTCTTCAGAATCACTAGAATCGTTTTCATCGTCTGACTTAACTTCATTCGCCTCCTCATTAAAATACACATCATCGTAGTCATTTGCCCGATTGCTACGCAACCCCTTAGCTGGAGTTACTACATTTGATGACGTTTTGTTCTGCCTTTCTTTCTCTATCGTAGCATCATGCTCCTCAAAAGCTTCCCTGATCGTCTTTTCGAAATCATCCTCAGATGCATCGCTGAAATTATCATCTGCAGGGTCATTAGCTGAAGCATTAACCACGGGCTCGGAGATTTCATTCACAGAACTAGTGATTGTCTTCGATTTGACCTGTTCTATGATATATTCGATTTGAGAATTAGTGAGTCTTGAAATACTATCAACACTATAAGTGACCTGATTAACCATATACCCTGGTATTCCATCAATCCTTTTCAGAGTTTTAGGGTCGTATTCATAGCCAAATAGCTTATTGATTTTTCTTGCTTTACAGGTCATTACGCGTAAATATCCATCAGAAACACCCGTAAGGTATGGTTTCATTTCATTATAGATCTGCTTTCTTGCAGTCTGATCTGTAAGTTTCTTATCATTAGACCTAAGCTCCACGACTTTATCTTCGAACTTTTTGGAGAATAAACACCATAATGTAATCTCTGATCGCTTTGCTATAATCGTTTTATTTCTTGCAACATTTGCCTGGCAGAATGAATTGGCAAGTTTTTTGATGCTTATTGATCCGAGAACTGGAGGTCTGGGAGGAGAAAACTTTATAGTCTGGAGTTTATCGTCAGATGAGAGTAGTTCTTTCAACAAACCTTGTACGAATTCGGTTATCTCTGGACAGGAGGTGAGCGAAGTATTGGTAATAGTTTCTCTCTCATGTGACAATTTTGAATTTTCGGAAAACCTGTTAACAATGTTAACGGGTTTTTTATCACGTGATAATTCAGAATTTTCAGAAATCATGTTAACAGGTTTTATATCGTGCGACACTTTCGATTCCACTGTGAAGATTTCTTCCTGAGGGATATCTGCAATGACCGATTGCTCTGCAACCACTTCTATTTCATGAGACGGTTCATCATTGTTAACCGTTTCTGATGCATAAGCAGTATCAGAAGAGCTATCCTGGCCAGCTGATTCACGCTGGAGTTTCTTCTCCTTATTGCGTCGCCTAATATCTTCACCAACGATTTTCTTATCCTCTTCATCCAAGAAAATATCCATTTCTTTCTCCTGTGATGATTTTTCATGATGGATCACACCCGAATTGGCCGAAGGCGCTAAAGCAAAGTTAGAAGAGTTGTTATTAGTAATATCATCTTGCGAATGCTTCTGTTCTAATGTAGGAACTCTATCAATGGTATCCGTCTTATTTTTCTCTAGAACCTCAATTCTAGCGTCGCGTCTGTTATTCTCTTCCATCATCTGCTTTATAAGCTCTACATTTTTGGCCTCAACCTCAGCAACCTTCTTTCTAAGCTCGTAAATTTCGACATCTCTAGCTTCAAATTCAGCAAGCTTCTTTCTAAGTTCGGGAATCTCAGAATTCTTGGCCTCGAGCTCAGCCTCAAGCTCAGTAATGTGTTGCTTTAATAAATCTATTTCGGATTCCATGTCTGTGTAATATCAGTGTTAGTATTCAAAATCGATAAAAATATGTAGATTATTCGGCTGATCCAGATTAGTTAGATCGGTAAAGTACTAGCATTCTGCTTGATTAGCTAGTTTTCTTTAATCTTCAAACGAAAAAAATTACACGATCACTGCTCCGAACTAGCTAGATCGTCGAATAATGCTATCGAATAATTCCTTGGTGCTTGTCTGCCTATAGCTATAATGGGGTGATCGGCACCAGAGTCAACTGTCATGAATATACTGGAATTAGGTTGTCGTAATGACTGGTGAAGCTGACTTCTAGTATTAACAACTCTAGGCTGTCTTGGTATTAGATCTACCACTCGCTCTATCTCAGCTCGAATATCCTGGTAATTCTCTACGTGGATATTTGAATTTAGCTTATCTACAGCTTCTTTACTAATATTATTACACCCTTTCAAATCGAGATACTTTAAATTAAGACACGAACTAGCAATTTCTTTGATAGTTATATCGGTAATTCGACAAAAGCTGAGGTCGAGATGCTGGAGCCTTAGGCAAGAACGAATAATACTGTAAATTGAATGTTCAGTAATCTCTGTGCAGTAGGCAAGATTTAAATATTCTAATTTATGGCATGACTTCGCGATTCTCCATAGACCCCCGTCATCTACTTCTCGAACACGAGAGCTCATATAATTACCCGATTGATTAACACACAGATTGAGATACTTCAGATTCGAGTATGAACCTACTATCAGTTCTAATGCTCTATTACTAAATCCTATGCTATTTTGAAACTCAAATGGATTATATTTGGACATGAAAATATAATGCTTATGATTTTTTTATCTGAAAGTGAATGGTAGTATGATATTTCGAGATGAGTTACATTTGAGCAATAAA